GAACAGCTGGTAGTTTCGGACTGCTGACCATGAGATTAGCAGTCCGATTTGTAACCAGTACGCTACCAGAGCTCCTTAGACAGATGGCTAGTATCTACCATATTGAGCAATGCGGCAATAGTATTTCATAAAGTTGATCTACAATATCCTAATTTTTTAAATCTATTTTTTACTAAAACCCAATAATTACATAAAAATACGTATTTATAAAAATTTGTTCAATTTTTCTTGTGTAAGAGATGTGGCAACTAGGGCATTGCTAACTTAGTTTAAAAACAACAACAGAGCTGTGTGCTTTTAACTTAGTTTAAAAAAATAACTATTTCATGTGAACATAGTTTAAACTTTTATACTGTAATTCATAACCTCCCAAGACAGATGCTGTGATGCTGAAGCAGAGCATGGAGGCTTCACCTGTGGAAAGCTCTCCACCCATTTGAGTGAAGTAGATGACTTCCAGATGATAAAACCAATTAATTGATTCATATACTTACTAATTATATTGAATCCCACCATGTGCCTGTGCCTAGCTCTAGGAAAACCACAGCAAAGGTCAATTAAATCCCACCCCTCATGAAATTGATGTTGTTGGTAGGTGCCTTTGAGTCAGTTCTGATTCATAGCGACTTTTGTATTGAGTCTGTATACAGTTTCCAAGGCTATTATAAATCTTTAAAGAAGCAGAAAGCCTCATTATTCCCCCATAGGACAATTGGTGGGTTTGAACTCTGGACCTGTGTGACTAGCCGCTTAGTGCTTACCCTACAATGTCACCATGTAATTTACAGTCTGATCAAAGTAATTTCAGGTTGAAGGAAGTTCTAAGAAAATCAACAAGGTGGTATAACGTGCATATCATTTAAGATAGGGTATTTAGAAAAGTCTGAGACCAGGGCAGGTTATCTGAGGCAGAAAGAAGCAGCTGAGCCAGCCCAGTTAGAAGAGCTCTCCAGGCAAAGGGATTAGCAAGTACAAAGGCTCCAGGTAGGAAAGAGCTCGGTTTGCTAATCAGAGTAAAGCCAGTGAAACCCTGAGGGAAGGCTGAAGGAGGAAGAGAGAGTAAAGAGGAAACTGTTGTTTTTGTTATATGCCCTTGAGTTCCCACCCATAGCGACCCAGTACAGGGTTTCCAAGGAGCCCATGGTGAGTTTGAAACGCCAACTGACTTTGCAGTCCAGGGCACTAACCCACAGCGCCATACCAGGACTCCAAGAGGAAGCTAGAAGTTAAGAAATACAGCATCCACCTTTCCTTTATTTGAGCCACACATCCAGCTTCAAATGGCGTAACACGGACTTACCAAAGAAAGGGTCCTGGCCTAGCTGCTTTCGAAGGCTTTCTACCACAGGGTGACCAAAGGTGATGTTGGGAACAAAATGCCTACAAGACAAACAAAATCTTACTCTGAAAATGTTTTCAACTTGGTGAGTCTTTCATACTTCACTACTTCCAGTAGTCAGTATATATATTCTGGCGGGGGATGAGAAAGGACGTCTGGAGTTGTATTTTTCAACTGAATACTTATCAACATCAGTATTAAAAGCATAGTGGTTCTGAGTCAGGCTGCCAACCTCAAGGTTAGCAGTTCGAAACTACCAGCTGTTCCATGGGAGAAAGATGCAGCTTTCTGCTCCGGTAAAGATTTACAGCCTCGGAAACCCTGTGCAGGGAGGGTCACTATGAGTTGGAACCAACTCTACGGTACTTAACAACAACAACAAAATAACTAGGCTTCAATTTTACAAAGTATTATTTCCTTGATATTTCAACACATCATAACAATGTCAGATTTACCTACATAAAGATTTAATTGTATAATTCACACTCCCATGATAAGCAGAAATGGTAAGACGACAAAATAAATAACCCAAGTTATATGACTTGCCCAAGTCACACACTAGCAAGTTCTGGACTCTGAAGAAGGGTTCCGGAATCACAGCCTGTCACAGCCGTCTACTTCTAATCTACGTCTATCACAGGGTAGTGACTGACAATTATTTACCCTTTCTCCAAAAAAATAACAAAGACAGCTGCTGTGTTTATTACTAATAATAACTGAAGATTTACTAACAACAGGCATTATACCTTATTTCAGTCTGTCTTCACAAGAACCATATCAGGCAGACACTAATATTACCCCCATTTGAAAAGAATATAAGAAATAACTTGCTTAGATCACCTACTTGGTTTATAGAGGCAGGATTCAAACAACTGTGCCAGATAGCAGAACCACAGGACTTACTCCTAAACCTACTCAGTTAATCCTTTTGTTCTATCACTGTTGTTAGGTGCTTTCAAGTGGGTTTTAACTTATACCTAACCTATGGTACACTAGAACGAAACACTGCTCAGTCCTGTGAAATCCTCAGAATTATTATGTTTGAGACCATTGTTGCAGACAGAGCTGTCAATCCATCTCACTGAGCGTCTTCTGCTTTTTCGATGATACTCTATCAAGCATGATACCCTTTCTAAGAACTGGTCCCTCCTGATAACATGTCCAAAGTCCTGGAAGTCCAAAGTCCTGGAAGTTTTGCCTCTAAGGAGTATTCTGGCTGTATTTCTCCAAGACATATTTGTTCTTCTAGTTATCCATGGTACTTTCAATATTCCTAGCCAACACCCTAATACAAATGCACCAATTCATCTTCAGTCTTCCTTATTCATTGTCTAGCTTTCTCATACATATGAGGTAATTGAAAATATCCTAGTTTGGGTCAGGTACACTTCAGTCCTCAAACTGACATCTTTAACACTTTAAAAGGGGTCTTTTGCAGCAGATGTGCCCAATGTGTTTGATTTCATGACAGCTGTTTCCATGGGCATTGATTGTGTATCGAATTAAAGTAAAATTCTTGACAACTTCACTATTTTCTCTGTTCTATTTCTATCTCACTGAAATATTTAATAAAATACTCTATAAGCAAGTACCAAGCACCTTGGGGGGTTTCCAAGAGAACTGTGTTTTCTAGAGATAAACTAGGGTTCTGCTTTGCCCCAGAGAATTCGTACCATCGTAAGTGAGAAATAGCAGAGATGGATGACTCACCAGAATTCATGACGATATTGCTACAATGGAGTCCTGCTGCAGACTCCATTATAGAGAATAAGTACTGGACTACTAACTGCAAGGTTGACAGTTCAAACACACCAACTGCTCCGTGGAAACCCTATACAGTGTCACTATGAGTCAGAGGGTACTAGATAGCACTTAACATTTCTATAATAATACAGTTGTTGGTGGGAAGAAGCCTTGGCCTGTAGCTTCATTACACAACAATGGACCCAGAAATTTAAGTGATTAAGTCATTCACTGTTGTTGTTGTGTGTTGTGGAGTCGGTTCTGACTCACAGTGACCCTATATGGGGTTTCCGAGGCTGTAAATCTTTACAGGAGCAGAAAGCCTCATCTTTCTCCTGCAGAACAGCTGGTAGTTTCGAACTGCTGACCGTGAGATTAGCAGCCAGATTCATAACCACTACGCTACCAGAGCTTTCCACCATTCTGGCAGTAAAGAAGCCCTTAAATCAAACATTCAAACAGCAGAGCCACAAGATGGGAGGAGACTACCAAGGGACTTCAAAAAAATTCATGGAAAATGTCATTACCTTTTCAGTCCATATTTCCGTGAACTTTTTGAAGCCCCTCATGTATGTCCCAGAGTTCGCTAACAAAAAGGTAACTGACATGGAACTGTGAATGAGAAAGAAACTACAATGTTAAGCCACTGAAATCTGGACTTTGTTAAAGCAGCTGGTATTACCTACATGAAGATTACAAGAAAAGTTAACAAGTAAGCAATTCGTGATGTTATAGGTAATATAAGGCTACAGTTCCAGAGACAAGCATTATAGTTTTTCAGAAGAGGGGAAGCTCACTAGAGTGACAAAACAAGCTAAGATCTGTATGACAGATTGCTGTTGGTAAGTGTCGTGGAGACAGTTCTGACTCATAGCGACCTTGTACAGGGTTTCCAAGGGGCAGCTAGTGGGTTTGAACCACCAACTTTTTGATTAGTAGTTCAGTGCTTATCCCACAGCCCCACACCAAGACTCCAGATTGACTGGGGGTGGGTGAGGGCAGGAGGGAGGCAAAGGCTGAAAAAGTAGAAATCTGCAAGTTCTATTGTTCTATTCCAGGAAATGGGCACATGTTAACTAGCCTGACTAGAGAAAAAATGGTGACAGGTAGTAGGTTGTGTCATACTAAGAGCCTCAAACACCAGGCTACATTATTTGGTTTTTATCTGGTTCAGATTTTATTCTGTAGTCTATACAAAGTGGACAGGGTAGTGGCTCCATAAGATGAGCACTAGACTATGTATGAATCACAAGTTCAGCAGTTCTAGCCCACCTGCTGCTCTGCAGGAGAAATATGAGGCTTTCTGTTCCCACAAAAGATTTAAAGCCTCGGAAACCCTATAAAGGGTGGCTAGGAGTACGAACAGATTCCATGGCACTTACCAACAACTACTTTGTATATCAAAGTGGAAGCGTGGTGGCTCTGTAAGATAAATTCAGCAAAGGTGGTAAAAGGATGAAGTACCTACAGTACCACTGTAACCAGAAAATAATCTTCCAGTGAACTAAAAATCACTAACTCATATGTCTACGGGGTTGGCAAATAATCCCAACATCAGCCATTGCTTTAGAGTCAAATCCAAATCATAGCACAGAGTAGAACTGTCCCACAGGACACAGGATTTCTAAGGCTATCAATCTTTACAGAAACAGACTGTCGTATCTCTGCTGACATTTTGGTTAGCAGCAGAGCACTTAATCACTGTGCCACCAGGGTTCCTTTGGCAGGGGACAGGAGGAGCAAAACAGAGCTGATAGGCACAGGGGACACATGGAGAACGCCCGGCCAGTGGTGGCTGGCATTCAGTTTCAGTCCACTGTGCCTTGCAAAACTGTGGGCCCAATACTGACAAATCTTTCTGTTGTTTTCAAAACAGAAGTTAGAGTTCCAGTTAATGTGAAGTCTCCTCAACTTTAAGTCCTATTCACTAATTTAGAATATGCTTATTTATTTGCTCAGTTCCCAAGCGTAGGACCAACACGTGCCCATCACTACCATTTCATGACATTATTAAGTGCTTCCTAGTCTTCTTTTCCAAGAAGCCAAAGCCCCCCAAAATTAAACCCACTGCCATCAAGTAGATTCTGACTCACAGTGACTGTATAGGTCAGCAGAGACCTGTCCCCATAAGATTTCCAAGGCTGTCCGTAAATCTTTATGAAAGCAAACTGCTGGTAGGTTCCAACCACTGATCTTCTGATTAGTGATCAAGTGCCTCAACCACTGTGCCATCAACGCCCCTTTTCAAGAAGTCCTTTATTTCAAATATGGAACCAAACCAATACCCTCCACTTTCCACTTTTCCAAAATCCAGACAAATTCCTTCCTAGGATGGTCTTCTATGTACACCTGATTGTCAAGATTTAAAAAAACACACCACAAACTGTGAGAAATTAGGGGGCCTTATTGGGGTGAGTCACTATAGTTGGGCTTTTTGTGTAGGGGTGGGGAGAACACACTAGAAAATGAGCACGTCCAAACGACATTGAATGTTGGATGAAAATGTTTAAGGGGACACAAAAGAGAAGCATTAAGGCCATGTTGGAAAGGAAGTTAAGTTTTATGGTCCACCAGCTTCAGAAAAAGAACTCTGGCAGCATAGTGGTTATGAGTTGGGCTGCTAACCTCAAGGTCAGCAATTCAAGACCACCAGCTGTTCGGAGGGAGAAAGACGAGGCTTTCGGCTCCAGTAAAGATCTACAGCCTCAGAAACCCTATTCAGGGTCACTATGAGTTGGTGGAACTCCACAGGACATGACCACTACCACCACCACCTTTAGGAAGGGTGTCCACACTCTCTCCTTAGCCCTGGCTCAGAAGTCTTTGGAAACCATTACTAAGGGCACTACCATCAGCTGGACAAGGCCTGACCTCTTCTGATGGGACACTGGGGAAAGGGACTGAACCTCCCCAAATTGGTGTCCTCCTCTGCAAAAGGAAAAGAAAAATCAGTCCTACCTCAAAAATTGTGGATGTTAAAAGGGGCAGAGTTTTAAAATGTCCAAACTAATGTATTTCCAGGAAAAGGAGAGATGAGTCAACACACACACAAAAATCCTTCATTCTGATATAGCCATTCACTCACTCAACCAATTATAACTGAGACTGTCACGGTGTTTCACAAGCTGAGGCTAGAGGCGAACAAGAAACAGATCCTGCTTTCAGGGATTGTACTGTTCCCCGAAATTAAATTAAGAACAAAAGTATAAATTCTCAGTTGCTCTTTGAGGACAAGGAATGTCTTAATCACTACTATCTGTAGGCCATAGGACTGGTCATAAAATGTATTCCATTATCTGTAAGTCATTAAATGGCCATGTTGTTGTTGTTAGTGCCATGCAGTTGATTTCAACCCATGGCGACCCTATATAGGGTTTTCGAGAAGCAGTTGCTAGGTTTGAACTGCCAACCCTGTGCTTCGCAGTCCAGTGCCGATCCTACAGTGCCACACCAGGAACCTATAAGTGGCCATACAAGTCATTTGACTGTAAGTCAGCACAAGCTCTGCATTGCTTCCAACGCTGGCTCCACATTTCCTAGCTAGGAGATCGTGGGCAGGTGATAGCTTCTCTGTGTCCTTCCCTCACTGTCAAATGCTGGTGGTAATAATAGCACCAACCTTATTAAGACTGAATTGTTTCACAAAAAGCACTAGAACAGAAACAGCTGAGTTCTCATAAATATACACTCCTGGTATGGTGCTGTACGATAAACAATGGACAGTGAACCACAAGGAACCAAACTTAACAGCACTTAACAACAGCTATCGCCATCATGGAATCCTGGTGTTGCGCTACAGGATAAGCACTGGACTTATCCATCAGCCACTCCTCTAAAACCCTGTACAGAATCGCTGAGAGTCAAAACAAGGAGCCCTGGTAGCGCAGTGGGTTATGAGTTGGGCTGCTAACCACAAGGTCAGTAGTTTGAATCTACCAGCTGCTCTGTGCAAGAAAGGAGTCTTTCTGCTCCAGTAAAGATTTACAGCCTCAGAAACCCTATCCAGGATGACTACATCTCAGTAAGGAGTCTGTGTAACTTAGCATTGTCATCATGGGCACCCTGGTGGCACTAAGGCTAGGCACAGGGGGAGAAGGAAGAGGTAGTCTGCTCCTATAAAAATGTACAGTCTCGGAAACCCTATTTAGGGTCATTGTGAGTCAGATTTGGAGTCCTGCTGTGGTGTTATAGGATGAGCACTGGACTGCTGCTAACCACAAGGTTGGTGGTTCAAACCTACCAGTTGATCCTTGGAAACCGTGACTCAACAACACTTAACAACATGAGTCACAATTGACTCATGAACTGGTTTATTGTTATCATGGAAGAAGACAAGAAAGTGTTTGGATGTACCCACCAGCAGCCCTGAAGGAGATGCAACATCTGCTTCTGAAATTATTACAACCTTAAAAACCCTATTGGCCAGTTTTACCACCTGACAGGGGTGCTATGAGACCAAACCTACTTAAGGGTGATTTTGGTAGTAATTATTGGCACTCCTGATTGGTGAATTAAAGCAAAATTTTATTTCCCCTGCCCATTTGCTAATTCTACATACATATATGTTGTTGTTAAGTGCCGTCGAGTCGGTTCCGACCCATAGTGACCCTGTATAGGTTTTCCAAGGCTGTAAATCTTTACGGGAGCAGAAAGCCACATCTTTCTTCCGCGGAGCGGCTGGCAGTTTTGAACTGCTGACCGACTTATTTAAAACCAAATTATCTGTGCCAAATAAACTATACATATATACAAGTACGGAGTCCTGGTGTGGCGCTGTGGGTTAATGTGCTGGACTGCAAAGTCCCTTTGAACCGCAAGGTTGGTGGTGTAAGCTCCCCAGGAATTTCTCAGAAATGCTATATGGGGTTGTTAGGAACTGAATCCACTTGAGGGCACTTAACAACACACTACATTGGTAAAAGCTTAAGGCTTTCAAACGAAGGTGTCAAAATAAGTAAAAAAGCAGAACTATAAGTGAAGGCCAACTAAAAACATCATGCTTTTCTGAGGGATAATATTTACTAGCTTCCTCACACACTTTGTCTCTAAAAGTTAGTACTCTAAGGTCAACGCTTTGTCATTATGAATTGGGCAGTATGGTAAGGTAACTGGCCAGAATGCAAGAGACACAACAGATTTAACCAGATAGAACAAAAGAAAGCAAAATTCTCAGAAGAGTAAGAAGCAATGGAAAAAGAGGAAATGAATTATCATTTTTTTCTAAATAACATTTTGCTCATTTGAATATGGGCATACAGAGGTTTGATTAATATAAAATAAATGCATTTTTGATACCAACCCAATGTAATGACTTTTATGATTCTATGGCCAGTTGTCAATGGGAATCAGAGTCCCTGGCAGACCTAAAATTCAAGTTGCAAGTTGTAATTCTGTCGCAATCTTGAGAAGTCTTACTGTTTTCTCTAAACTTGTTTGCTCATGTTATACCCAACTTAGGAAATGAGTCATCATCCTGATTCCAAATAATATCTTATTATGTGCTAAAACTACTGAATAAACAAGCCAAACCCATTGCCCTTCAATCAAAACCTGACTCACAGTGACCCTAGAGGACACAGTAGAAACGCCCTACAGGTTTTCCAAGGCAATAAATCTTTATTGGGAGTCCCGGTGTGGCTCTGTAGGCTACAGTAATCAGTGGTTCAAATCCACCAGCTGCTCCTCGGAAACCCTACACAGGGTCGCTATGAGTAGGAATCGACTCGATGGCACTTAATAGCAACAAAATCTTTACCAAAGCAGGCTGCTACATCTTTCTCCCAGGGAACTCAAGGTGGGTTCTAGAGCAAGTGAGCACTTAGCCACTGCACCACCAGGGTCCCTGCTAGAATTACAGTGCTTAAAAATCACTTACAAAATGCGAATATTGATAAACAGCTAACAATTGTAGAGAATTTAGTACCAATCAAGCACTGTAAGCAACACACACGAACTCATTTCCTCTACCAGAGATGCCTACTCGGTAGGTTCTATTACTATCTCCACTTTTCAAATAATGACGAGGTTAAGTGGCTTGCCCTCAGTATCAGAAGCGCAGCAAAATGGCAAACTGACAATCTCTCTCCAGGTGACAAGTTCCTAATCATGATGCAAGTCACTCCGTTGTCACTCTCCAGCTACATGAGCTTGGGCAAGTCATGCCTATCACCTTGGGCCTCAGTTTCTCCAACTGAAAATCAAAGAAATGGCCTAGAAGTTTAAGGTCGCTTCCGGGTTCTAAGTGCTAGAAGACCACACGTTACAAAGGGGGAGGGGTGACGCTGAGGTTTGGGCTCAGGGTGCCGCCTCAGGTCCGCTCCAAGCAGGGTCTCTAGCGCTCCCGCCTCAACCCTCTTCTCAAACTCGCATTAACAGCCAGGCGCTCTGCGTAAAGTGACACCGTGCAGCCAACAGGTGCTGCAAACAGGTGAGCGGAATTCGACCCGACCCGAGCCCCGCGGAGTTACCCGTCCATTACATCCAGGTGCAGATAATCGGCACCGGAGTCCAGCATCCGGAGGCATTCGCCCCCTAAATTGGCCAGGTCGCTGTTAAGGATGGACGGGCCAATCTTGCAGCCGGATGCCATGGTGCCGGTTCCTAAGAACTAAGTTACCCCACTAGTCCCCCGAGAGGACCTAAGCGTCGCCCCAATTGGCTGCGCCATTTTAGCCCCGCCCCTTCCCATAGAGTCTTCCGGACTCTGCCGGAAGTAATTGCTTTGCAGTGAGGAAGTCCCGCCTTCTCCCTCCGGGTAGCGACTGCCGGTCCCGAGGCTTAGAGGCGGGGCCTGTCATAGGGGCGGGGCCTTGGCCGAAGAGCCGAGCCTTGATCCTCCTTTCAGTTGGGACCCGCCACATTGAAACGCCTTTTGCGGATCTAGCATCCTCAAAATGCTCAATGCATTTTTAAAGCTTCTGCTGCTTTACGTCCCTTGCAATTCTTTCCATTGATCTTTCTCATATTCACATTATTTTTGTTTCTCCATCGTTTGCGTAGGCAGGACTTACTTTCCTCTCCAGCTCTTTTTTAAAACAAAAACGAAAAAACACCTTTATCCCTTTTATTTCTCTCTCCCTAGAACTCTTAATAACTGGGGGAGTCACATTCTGAGTGACATCCTAGTTATGCCAAATAGTAACTGAGTGATCTGGCAAGTCATTTCTCTCCGCCTCATTTTTCTCATTTGTAAGACAGCACCAGGAGTGGAAGGTTACTGTAAAGAGTGTTAAAACAAAAATCATGTTAGCCAATAATAGAATTAGAAGTTTATTTAATATACATTCTGCAAAACGAGGTAACATTTCCATTGTTGTTGTTGTTTTGTGCCGTGGAGTCGTTTCCGACTCATAGCGACCCTGTACAGGGTTTCCGAGGCTGTAAATCTTTACGGGAGCAGAAAGCCTCATCTTTCTCTCGCGGAACAGCTAGTAGTTTCGAACTGCTGACCTTGCGGTTCACAAGGAGTCAATAATGTTTCAAAGATGAAAAGAAATTCCAAAATTATTTTACTTCAACATATGAACGTTGCCATGAGAAAGAGCCTGAAAGCAAAGTGCTTACATAATAACCAACCAAACGCCAAACAACCCACTAATATGGCGTCAATTCTGACTGTAGCTACCTTGTGAGACAGTGAATTCCACAGGGTTTCCAACACTGTAAATCTGTGTGGTAGCAGACATCCTCGTTTTTCTACCAGAGCTACTGGTGGGTTCAAAATGAGAGCTAGTGGTTAGTAGCTCTAAAACACAGCTCCCAAGTCCCACTCTGGAATTTCAGTGTGTCAAAACTGATGGTACATAGAATTTTTCAAGAACCTAATGAAAATGGTCTTTACTGAGCTGTTGTGAAACTTACAGTGTTCATTGTTATTTTTGTTACATGCTCTTAACATAATTATGGTTACTGAAGGCACTCATCTATGCCAAGAAATTTGGAAGACCACTATCTAGCCAACTGATTGGAATGTGCCCATTCCAAAGAGACATGACCCAACGGAATGCAGAAATTGTCAGACAATATCTTTGATAGTCCATGAGAGTAAAGTTTTACTAAAGGTAATACAGTAATGGCTATAAGCATACATTGACAGAGAACTTCCCAAGGTTCAAGCCGGATTCAGAAGAGGCCATAGAACAAGGGTTATCTTTGCTGATGTACCATGGATCTTTGCTGAAAGCAGAGAATACCAGAAAGATGTTTGTTGTTGTTAAGTGGCATCGAGTCGGTACGGATTGTGATTTATTGACTATGCAAAGGCTTTCAACTGTGTGGATCATGACAAGCTATGGACAACGTTGAGAAGTATGAGTATTTTGGAACACTTAATTGTGTCCATGAGGAATCTGTACATGGACTAAGAGGCAATTGTTCAAACAGAACATGGGAACATTGAATGATTTAAAATTTAGAAAGGTGTGCGACAAGGTTGTAGTCTTTCACTATATTTATTCAACCTGTATGCTGAGCAAATGATCCAAGAAACTGGGTTATATTAAGAAAAATGTGGCATCAGGATTAGAAGAAGACTCATTAACAACCTGAGATATGCAGATGATACTACTTTGCTTGTTGAAAGTGAAGAGGACTTACAATAATTACTGATAAAAATCAAAGACCACAGCCTTCGGTATGGATTGCATAGCAATGT